ATATATAAAGTAAATTAAATGAGAAAATCATAATCATCACACACATACACACACACAAACACACACACATACAAATATACCACTAGAGGGATTTCTAGTGGGTGGGGAGTGTTTGAATAGAAATACAAACAGTTTAAGTGGCAATTTGAAGAAAAGTGTCTTTACATTCTCCTTAAAAGCAGCATGGGGTTTCTCAGCCTTTGATTAAATTTCTCAAACCATTCTCTAAATGAAAATTTCTTTTCCAAATGACAGTTCAGCCCTCAAACTCAACAGTTTAGCCCAACCCAAATCCCACAAACAGAAGTCCAATAGTTTTTTTTCCAATTAAAACTAACTGCAACTCTGTTGGCAGTCCACGCAAGAGATGGAAAACATTATCTTATAAAATTTCCACTATGAATTTTATGTGTATGCAAACGGAGGGATTCTGGGATTTCTATCCAAAAAGAGAACACTCCTCCGTCTCTGCACATCTCTAAAATTTGGACTACCAGTTAAATAGTAGCATCCATGCACATGTGTAGGGGTGACTAAAGTTTCCCGTACCCCTGGGCAATTAACTGCATAACTGGTCTCTGCTCTGCTCTTTGATTTACAGCAGTTCTGATGGGTGGCTTGTGCCAAACGGTGATCTTCTGATATTCTGTAATATTAGTGAAGTTCCATAAAGCAAGAGAGTTTTCACCTGAAATTCAACAGATGCCAAACTCAGAGTTACATCAAGATGACAAGAGAGATGACTAAGGCCGCTGCTAAATTATTTGCTTGCCATACTCTTCTTCCTGCTCCACATGCTCCATTCTTTCTACTGTATGAGCAATACAGCACAACTCCTTGCCCAGTTTTGACCCTCATGGCCTGGAAATCTTAGCAGGGTAATCTGATCACAGTATTTCCACTGCCAACTTGAGAACCAAGAAATGGCAAATGCCTTAGCACTGTTCAGTCATTGCCTACTCACTTGTTATCCACACATTAGGAGAGGAAGGATTAAATTCCCCTCTCTCCACTATGACTTTCTCCACATAGAGAGTCATGTATCTGAAGAGGAGAGATAGGCTGATTTGCCAAATGTGAATTGAGGCAAGTTAATGTCTAAATAAACCAGACACTATAATCTTCTTAAGGGACCACTCCTTCAAAGGACTTGTTTGCTGTATTGTCTAATTTGGCCCTAAGGCATAGTAAACTTTTTGTTCACTCTGCCCAGTGTAGCCACAGAGTAAAACAACAACAACCACAACAACAACAAAACTGATGTTTAGTGATCAATAAGCATTCAAGTATCCATAGGACTGCCATTTTCAGTTCTATGAACAGGTTTTGTATGTATATAATAATACATTCTATCACATTATTTGCTATTTTGTTACCTTGTTGTTTTATGTTATTTGTTGTAAACTGCCCACAGTGGCCTTGGCTGCCAGATGACCATTTGATTGGTCCATTTGATTTGATTTGATTTGCATATAAATCAAATCAAATCAATCAATCAATCAATATGCAAATATGACCAATAAAAATGTGCATGTTCTTCGAAGTTGTTTCAGTTTTGAATTCTTTTTCTTTTCTTTTTTGAAAATTCAAGCCAAGAATCACCTAATCACTTATTTCCAAGTATTTTACTGAATGACATCCAGTGTGATGTAGTGGAAACAGTGACAGACAAGGACTTAGGAAGCATGGATGTGAATCCCCTGTCAGCTATGGAAGCTTACCGGGGGCATGGAACTCGTAAAATCCCTCCTTAAATGTCTCACTTCTTTGAAAATCCTGTTTGGATCACCAAAAGTCAGTTCCAATTACATAATATAGTTTACTAAAAAACCTCTAACTTTTTTTGCTTTGTTTTATACCTTTTAGTCCAGTCCAGCATGAAAAAAACTTTAAAATAACCAAAAGTCATAGCTGAACACGATGCCTATTTTTTGTTCAGCCTTAGATTTTATTTTCACCCCCTCACCAGACCACCAGTATTTCTGACAAGTAATGAAACTTGAAATTGATAATCAAGGACTGTTTCATTTTTTTAAAATGTTGAATATAACTGTCATTGCTTTACCTTTATAACAACTCTGAAGGCTACTTTTTAATGGTCATTTACCAGTAATCTGGCATGTAAAAAAATCATATAATAATTCAGGCCTTAAATGTGCACTCATTTTACAAAATGACTATCAACACAAGTAGTGAAAAGAGTGAGAAATGATGAAACACTACTATCTAAGTAAAAACAGAGATTCTAATAGGCCCAAGAAGGCAACATCAAATTGTCTCAAGAGCTACATGCAGGTCCTTACCAGGTACTGAATTTCTTGCCTTAATCTATAACTAGTGATGCCATCTTCTGCCCCAGTTCCTGAGCATCCTTTATCCAGCAATTTCTTACTTGGAAGCTCAGACCTTAGTTAGTTTGAATAACTGTGCCCTACATTATTCAGAGCAGCCTTACTCTGTAAGCTTTCTCAGTGATCACTGAGCTCATATGCCACCCCCATCCCCCATGTGACACCACATTTTGAAATCAATGATCTGGACTGCAGTCATGCTTCAACTGAAGACAGTGAACACTATTAAGTTAGGGTGTGGCCAGTCTAATAAAGAGATATTTGATTTGAATAAGGCAGAACAATGGAAATGAATGTATCTTCTGAAAATGAAACAAAATACTCATAGGAACATTATCTTCATTCATAAATATTAAAATATTATCTCTCTGAACACAACTTCTTATGGCATCATATCTTCTAGCATTTAGGCCACAGATACCAGTAATATCAATGGTAGTTATCATTTGTTAGCTGAGATGTAGTTCTGTATCTACATTTTAAAAACACTACAAAATAATTCACAGAAAATACTTAAATAATTACACAGTTGATAGCAAATAGTTAAGTGGATTCCCTATAACAAGTATATCTCAATTTACAGTATGTTTTTTTTAAAACCTTGCTTGGAGAATTAAGTATATAATTAATCAAAATGTTCAGAAAGAAAGATGGAGATAAAGATGATCCATTAAGGTTAAGAGACATAACACTTTTCATACACCAAATCTATTATGAAACTATTTACTTACCTATAGTGTCCTTCATGGCTAACAAAAAAAAAAAGCCCTAGAACCTCTGAATTTCTGCTCTGCTCCAAAATAAAACTGAGTCTGGATCAGGATTTCAGCCTAACCAAACCTCAGAAACTTAAAATGGTAACTCTATCAAGTACAAACCAACTTGCTATAGCTATTAGGCAAGTTATGTAACACATTAAGAACACAATGAGACTCAAAACAGAATTTAGCCTAATATTTACCTTAGGGTAGATTACTTTTTTGTAAATGTGTGCATGAGCATAATCATACATATCCACAATTGTACACAGTTCAATGCACACACAACATATTGTGCATACCATAACATGAATATATACTCACACACCACTGTTATTTCTTGGAAAGAAATAAAGACAACTAAATAATCTAGTTTACAGCACAGTTCTATGCATATTTACTCAGAAATGTTGTTATGTTACACAGGACTTACTCTCATATATATATATCTGCACTTCACAATTGGAACTTCATAATTCCGTAGTTTGCTTCTTTTCCACAAAACCACTCCATGTACTTTTTAATAAGATCATGCAATGAGTCACCAGCTAAAACAGCTGTTCATATGTCTGTGTCACTTGTTACTTTGAAATGACAGGTAATATCCTCAGATTACCTTAGATTAGCACTGGTCCCATTGTGATTGCTGGGACAGAAAGCACAGCAACCAATAGTGGGCAGAACCCATGTGACTAGCGGCGCTTGCTCGTGGGAAAACAGACACACACAGAGAGAGAAGCATGCAGGCAACAGGCAGGAAGGAACCACAGATGTGATCCTCACCTCCAGTCATTAGTAAGGAGGAGGCAGGCAAGAGTGGGCAGGCTGGAGGTAACCCAGTGGAGGTTAAGAGGTTCTGTTGTCAGTGGGGCATGACTATGCTCCATGATTTTCTCTCCTCTTTTACAGAAGGTATGCAAGGTGCTGAAATTAATTAGGGTATAACGTTCAGCACCTTGGATAGCTTCTTTATAGCTATCCGAGGTGCTGAACTTAAAAAAGAAGACTAAAATCTGCAGCAGATTAATTTCACTACTGACATCACATCATCAGACTCCGCTGGGGTAGTCGACCTCTGAGGTGGAGCAGTGACCCATTTGCCCTAAAGGACCTGCTGTCACTCTTCAGGAATAACACCTATGCCCCTTACATGCCTATTTTCAGGTGGAGGGGGAAGATACGCCCCTTTGACTTGTTTCCAGAAGTGATGCTGGAATTTGTATATATTATTTCCAAATGAAAGGGGAGATGAAATTATCCTAGCAACACAACATTTTTAAGGTGAGACAATAATACCATTCACTCTACGAAAAACCCCAGTTGTTAAAAGGTGACCTGGAAAGCAGGCCAGGTCTTTACGTCAGGCAAGCTACCCATATGAAATCAACCCGCCTCGTAAGGGGCGTGGATGGCATCTCTCCATTGTGTGTCAGGCTCAGCCCATCCTGAAAAGCACTAAGTGGCACCATCGGTAGTAGTGCAATCTAACTCAGGGCCTTTACAGCCACAAGAAACAGCTGCCTGGGCAGGTCAAGTTCATTCAAGCGTGTGCCAAAGAGACGGGGAGAGAGGTTGAGAGAGAGAGGACGGGTGAGGGTGAGTTCAGGCCATACTACACACACCCGTTGCCCTTGGACCAAAGGGAGGTTCCCTGCTCCTGACACTCCGGGCTGCGAGCGAATGAACTAAGGACCTCGGGCCTCAGGACCCACTCGTCTCCGATAGCTAGAAAAGCAACGAGCCCTTTTTGAGCCGATCGGGATCCAGTTCCAGCCCTGCCACGAGGCCCTGCCGCCCGCCCCTTCCTTCCCCTGCCCGCCTAGCCACGGGGAGTTCAAGGAAAGGTGACAGCGCTGAGTGGGTGTCCCCCCTCCCCGCCCCTTTGCCTTACCTCCAGATCTGTCCCAACTGCAGGATGTGGATGAGGGACTGCATGAGCCAGATGCAGAAGGCGCAGGAGGCGGACCTGGTCTTGGGGGCCCGGACGCCCCCGCCGCCCCCGCCTCCCGTGGTGGTGGTGGTGGTCGCGTTGGTGGTGCTGCTGGTGCTGCTGTTCGTGGCGTTGCCCTTGCTGGCGTTGGACGCCTGCCTCT